ACCACCACGGAGCCAGGTCCTCATGACGGAAAGCTGGCAGCCCAGGAAGGACAGGGACACAGCTGGGCCAAAATTCCCCATCCCAAACACGTGCAGGCGGCAGGTGCAGCTCCAGGGCTCCCAGCACTGGCAGCTCCACGTGCTCAGCCTCCTCCCTCACCCCGGGCAGCTCTGCCGGCTGCAGCCCCACAATCACGGCATGCCCTGCTCCTCAGCAGGGCAATGGGATGCTTCTCCAGCGGCTCCTTCCCCAGCAGCCTGGGCCTGGAGCCCCCAGCAAACTGAAATGATGCCTGATGAACACAGAGACACCCAGGGAGCACAGCACACAACACAGCGTGTCACAGCCACAGCACAGTGTGGGAGCTGGGGAGATCCAGTACAGCCCTGCAGAGACACCCAGCACACAACACAGCGTGTCACAGCCACAGCACAGTGTGGGAACGGGCTGCTGGGAGCTGGGGAGATCCAGTACAGCCCTGCAGAGACACCCAGCACACAACACAGCGTGTCACAGCCACAGCACAGTGTGGGANACACAAACAGGAATCAAATCCACACTAATCATTAGTGGGAAGGATCACAGTTTAATCAGACAACTCATTTTTTACCTCCACTGCAGCAGCCTGAAGAGCCTGCTGTGCTTCCAAACCAACCCACAGCCAGTCCACAGACTGCCCTGGAGAGCTGAGGGGCTACACCCCCTCTGTCACTTGAGCAGAGAGCTAGAGAACCTAACTGCAGCGTTTGCACTTGGAACGCTCCTGTATTTGCTCTGAACTGCATTGATCAGAGGTACACAGCTCATGGTGCTCACGTCCCACTGAGTCACCAGGAGGGGATGATGGATCCAAACCAGCATTCTATAAACCCCATGTGACTCACTCCAAATTTGAGCAGGCTTTGAATGAGAAAACGACTATTGCCAGAATCAGTTTTAACATGCAACAAGAAGTTACGACTGTTCAAATACAAATAGTAACAAGAAAAAATACACAAACACTTAGAAATTACAAGTGTGAAAAGAAAGTTTGGGCTCAGAGAAATGTTTGCGTATGTTTAAAGGACACATACTTCAAGTTGAAATGATCTCATCTAAAACTTCAGACAGCCTCGAAAGCAAGACAGTAACTATAAAATAACCCATATTGATGCTAATTGAGTCTGGCTTTCTGGCAGAGCCTGTTGGGAAGGCTGATCCTGACCCACATCTTCTCCCCTCATTTACGTCTGGTATCAGTCACTGCCATTGTTCCTTGTGATCCCAACTGCGCAACAAGGCCAGCTATGACCCATCTGATTTATCTCTGTCACAGCTTGAGCTCTGTTCACCGGCAATGATGGAAGGCAACAATGTCTGAGGGATGCAGGCCTGGCAACACTGAGCACATGGCCTGGGTTTGCCTCGGTATGAAGAAAAGGCAGAGGGAAGCACACGTGTATCAGTTCATGTGGCAAAGACAAATCGTACAAAACAATAGGGATCACTAACCCATTCATTACATGTTAGCTCTGTGATCAGCAAGTAAGCACTAACTATTTAATTAGTCAACTAATTAGTGACAGGCAACATGGAAGGCTTCAGATGTTCCCAGACAAATGCAAAGATAAAAAGCCTAATTAACCAGCAAGCATTATGCTAACTACTGCCAAGCAGGCCAGATGTGCAGGATATTGTGCACCCCGGTGCTGCCAGATAATGGCAGCGGTAGCTGCTCTGTCGGGAACCCTGTGCAGACCCTGCCCTTTCGGTGCTGCTCCTGGGTACCCTGAACTCATTCTGCAGACAAAAACTCAGGTTTACTGTGCTGGACTCTGATTCTACCCTAAGAATAAAGTTCAGGGCTTTGACAAAAGTGACTTTAATCCCCCTGGTTTTTAAACGTGGTAGTTATTTTAATGCTCCCATACGGAGAGGGAAATAGATTTCACAACAACTTCATAGGAGATACTGTGATCTGAGATACCATTCATTTATGACTATTTTATGTAGCATTCTATGTATACTCCAACATCTGCAGAGAGTAACTCATTGTTTACACCAGGGGTTGGATTAAGGAGGTTCTCAAAATCATGGATTAAGAAGGGTTTTCCCTGTAATCAGAACACAATAGTGCTTTCCACAGCTATATGCAAAGAGTTGGGTAAAAGCCAATCGGTTCCCTGCACTGGAACCAATGACAAGATAGTGCTGGGAACAAGCTCTGCATTCCTGCAGCCCAACTTCCAGCCCTGCAGCTGGGGCACATGGGTTCACAGGCTGCTCCAGGAACCAGCCCCTGGAACAACCTGGAAACACTGTGTCCTGCGTTCTTCTGGCCTAACACTGCAGCAGCCATGCCCATCACTCAAACTAGCAAAGGAAAAAAAAAAACAAACAAGAAAACCTCCCACTGTCACACCTGTACCTCCCAAACACTGGCAGGTCACCACGAGGGAGGCCATGCTCTGCCCTCGGTACTGACTCCAGCAGTCACCTGGCTCTCCAAGAAAATCCATGGGCATTGCCAAGAAAAGCAGCAGGACAGCTGAAAATGTGTCTGCATAAGACCATGTTCCAAGAAAAAAAAAAAAATCAGGAGATACTTATCTGAATGGTGAAACCTGAAAAGTGGTCTCAGTGGCCTGATGGAGCAGAGGATGCAATTCCCCAGGGCTCAGATGCCCCAGGATTAGGAAGAAGCTCCCCACACCCCTGTTGGCAGCATTTCTGCAGGGCCCTGTGAAGGGAGGGACTCTGGTGGGTGCCCCAGCGCTCTGTCCTCTGGGACTGCTTCCCAAGGCTCCAGCAGCAGGAACCAACACAGCCAGGGAGCGGGGCAGAGGTTTGTGAGGTGCCAGCTGGCAGCACACGCTGCCTGAGCAGCAGAGGATCCCCAAGCTCGGGTGGGTGTGCACAGTGCCACAGCTGCTCCACGCGCTGCTCCAGGAGTGCCATGCCTGGGATGTGCTGCCCATGGCACAGCGGGAGCAGGAGCCATCCTACCATGGAGGAGCAGAGATCACTCTGAGGGTTATTTCTCGGCTTAATAAACAAATGTATTTCTTCAGTCTCAAAGAAATTGAAAACACTTGCAAGATCAAGTTCTAATAACTGCCATGTTGGTAAGTGAATTACATTTGTGTGTCTCCATGGTGACTGATAATGTAAAATAATTAAGTATGAAGAATAACAACGAGAAAATGACTTCCTCTTTTTAAGGATTAGGGCTCATAAATTGATTCAATCCAGCTATTTTTAGTGCGTGTAACCGTCGCAGGGAATATTAGAAAATTATGAGCAAATTAAACTAAACTGCTTTAAAAGGCCTTCACATTGATCAGAAAGCTATTTGCTGCTGATGTGAAAATTAAAAAATAATCTTTCCTAAATTTATATCTCTATTAATATAAACTCAGTCACTCTTGGAGCAGCACCCTGTGGCTCAGGGGGAGCTCATCTGTGCAGCACTGAGACAAGCTCTCTCCTGCACACAAGGAGGATGTGTCCTGCAGGAACCCTGATAGAGTTTGGATCAAACTCAACTCCTGCCTGAAAAGCCTTGGCTGAGATAGTCTGAGGGCAACAGCTGTGAAGGCCTGTTCACCACAAACTCTGCTGGCTGACACACCTGAGCACAAACACACTTTGGTTTCCCTCACGGTGTTTGAAAGCACAGCAATGAACAGCACAGGGGGAGTGCTAAGAAAGAGGTTAAAAGCTCTGAAGTACATTTTTAACTGAATTTAGAGTAGAACTGAAAGCTTAAAAGGTGCTAATAACAGAAGGATGAGAGGAAGTGATTTACCCCAAGACAGGATGCGTTACAGGAAAAGTCAGGAACATGATAAAGAGCAAGGAGCAGGAATTTTTTCTGCACTGCTCCAGCAGTACAACATCCACAAAGCACTTCAACTTATTCTTCTTTTGACATATTGATAATTTCATTTGTGATGTTATCAATGGTTGTTGTAGAAATACGAACTCCTGGCTTAACTGAAAAAAAAAGACAGAATTCTGCATTCTCTGTCCCCTCATTAAAGTACCAGATGCCCCCAGTTCCTGTAGCATTCCAATCATGTTCAGGATTTGAATTTCGTATTCATTTCTGCAAGTGTTTCAGGACATCTCTAGTATGTGTGAATAAACTGCAGAAAACACTGACTGCAAAGAAACTGCATTTTCACAGTCTGACTTCCCAATAAGCCCCTGAAACTGCTGTGGAGGAGGTACTGGCATAGGAGGTGCAACAGTGAAACATCAGAGAGGGCACCTTGCCCTCACCCTGGGAAGGCTGGGGAACAGCAGACCTCACCCACGAGTTTTCCCTGCCTTAGACAGGGGAAGATATAAAAACAGCTGCATACTCCCCTTCTCCACGAGTTTATACAGTTATTTACTCCAATTTGGATAATTCCAGATAACCACAGCAATTCTATTTGCAGTTTTACTGCCGAGAAATGCGTTAGTGAATGCTGCCAGCACATGCTCCAGGTGGGGTCACCGAGAGTGGTGTCCTCTGCCAGACCTTTCCCACATCCACACTCAGGTCTGCAGCAAAACAGCAGAAGCACCAGAAATTACAATTGTGATTCCTGCACGGCTCTGAAAACGTGGCATTGTCACAGGGGAAGGGAAGGAGGGATCCAAGCAGCGATTCAGGATCCCACTGGGCACAACTGGCTTTAAAGGTCAACAGTGCTTTGGAGCACACATGAGGGCTACTGACTCCCACCCGGAACAACTGGGTGTAAGAACAGCATCCAAGGAGGCTTTAAGTGCTTCCAGTTCTCATCATCAGGGTGCCTCCCCCCTGAGGATCTCCGGGTGACTCAGAGCAGCCTGGAAGCCTCGGAGCCGTCAGCACACACCTCTCTACAGCATCTACAGCTGCTCAGACTCAAGGCACACTTTACATGGAAGAAACAAGCCCCTTCATATAAAAGAGAACACAAACAAGTTCCTTCATACAAAAAGGAACACATTCTTCTCAGTAAAGGAAATAAAATTAAAAACTTACCAAAAAATCAGTGTTTCCAGAAAGGAGATTCCAACATCAGATGCACCAATCACCACAATTCTAGTGTTGATAGACACTTTAGATTCCAGCACCAGCTTTCGATTTGTGAGGTTCAAAGAGTAACTCAACTGCAAAAACATATGTAACATGAGATAGAAATGCATTAAAAAAGCAGCCAACGCCTGCTAAGAATCATTAAGCTCACAGTGATGTGTTACCTTGCATTCTCACAACACTTTCTATGGCTCACTGACATGACTAATACCATGATTTCTCTATGCACAGCACCAGATGAATGACACAGAACTGCTGAAATACGTGCATGTTTAATAGAAAATTAGCAGAGCTGAACGATCTGGCTTCTCCTGAGCAAGACACTTTGGAGTCCTCATAGGAGAAGACAAACCCCCACCTATGCTCTCACTCACTGCATTTAGCAAACACCTGGAGAACACACATTTATATACTGCTAAGGCCGTTTTTATGCCTTCTAGAGCAGTTTTCACTCATGCTGGTTTATTTCTGGAAATGATTCCACTCAAATTAATTAGAGACTTGTATTTTGAGTGTCTTTGTGTGTTGAATTGAAAACTTGAAAAATGATCCTTCTCTTCTCTTGGAATACAGAGCAGGCACCCAGAAAGCCAAGTTGTCACACGCATAAGCAAGTACTTCAATGCCCCTGGGATCAATACTCCAGTCACAAAATCTTACTAGAGCGTTTGTAATGACTAATTTCAGTTTCCATACTACTTAATGCACACCCTGGCTATATAGGCAATAAACTCCATGTGGGTTTTTTTTCCTCCATGTGTCTCTAAGTCTCTGCCTAACAGAGATTCTCAAAAATCAATACGCAAGAAAGAGCCAAGAGGTAACATGGCATTTGACAATTTTTTTTTCTTCCCTGAACTATATTTAATTTGTGAATTTCTGATGGAAGGCAGGGAAATACTTCCCATCTCCCAGTACAACACATTGCATTTTTCTGGTTGCTCTGGGTTGCCTGCATTCCCATTTGATAGAATGCACAAGTGCAGAGTCATAAATGCACTGGGAAGACCAACACAAAATGGAGCCCCTTCTGATGTTTGTCAGACCCCTCTGTAAATTCCTGCTGTGGCACTTAGGCAGGAAGCAATCCAAGGCTTCTAACAGGTTTTCCTCTACTACAGATAGGAGACAGAGGGTTAATGATATTAAGTCCTCTGAATTCCTCCTATGAAATTACAGTAGAAATGTATTCTCTATATATTAGTTGACAGTAATTCAGTAGATGAAGAGTGTTTTATTTTAAAGCCATGGTAATCACATGTGCCTTCTCAAGAAGTACACTGCACACTGAGATCCCAAAGAGATCTTTTATGCCATGTCTCTGCACTGGTGCAGCCCCAGCACAGAAGGAGGAAAACTGTCTGGAGAATGACTAGTGCTGTCCTTAAGGAAAGATTATGGACCAATGCGTTGCCAACTGGCATCACTGCATAGCAACTCATTTAGAATGTGGCAAAACTAAATGTTTCCTTTGGTAAGGCAACATTATTTTTTACTGCCAGATAAATGTTCTTCAGGTTGCAGTTCACCATAGTGCAACGAGGACATCCAGTGGTGAGCCAGATTCATCTCAGGGACTGTACCGCCCTAGGAAAATTCCAGAAGATATCTTCAGAAGTATCCCAGCCCGTGGTGGCTGCTTAGCAGAGGTCAGCTGTGACAGCCAGCACATGCTGCAGTGAAGAATGCCTGGGCTTGCCAGGGAGAAGCACAGAACCAGCCTGTGCTCCTGAGCAGAGTTTTACAGGATATCAGCAAGTCCACAGAGAAGCCAAACAGTTCCATCCACAGCCAGTGCTTTTGTATGTGGTTAAAAGCTCCTTACAGCAGGGTCTGCCACTAAAGGGATTTTGGTCACAACTTAGAATATGCCTATAACACTTCCATATTTTAGAAAACAAAGAAGCCTTTTGTATTCCACTGAAAATTGTTGGGAGAGGCTTTAGGAAAGGAGAAGGACTGGTGCCCAGTACTCCAGGCATCCCTCACTGCTTAAAATAAACCATGTTCTTTATAACATAACTAAATCGTCCAGCTAAGTGTGATGTAGCTCTGCCAGTGCTGACATGTGGAGCCCTCCTGGTTCCACAAACAGGTGTGGAAGACACGGTACTTCAGGCTCTAATCTTGGCATTCCCATTCCCTGAGTCAGCAGACAGGAACTCTGACAGGCTGGGCTCTGCTGCACAGAGTTGTACCTTCGTAGGAAAGCATGGTCTTCTGGAGGAAAAACGATTAGCCATGTTTCTGTTGAAATGTGACTTTAATAAATTAATAAAATGGTAAAAAACCACAAAGAGAAACTACTTGTAACATATCTAATCACCAAAAGTAAGTAGGGATACCAGCAGCTGAGAGGACAAACCCAACAGGCCTCGTGGCAATGCCGAGGTCAAACATCTTCTACTGCCACCCTGTGCTGGTGGTTTCTGTTAATGTATTCCAGCAAGGAAACACAGAGCAGGAATACAATTTCCCTGGGAAGAGTTGTATCTATTTTACAAAATGGCTTCTGTATCAGTGACACAAAGGCAGTGTTTGAGCAGAATATAACTCGTGGTGCTCACCACACAGTGGCCCCAACACCAACAGCTGTCATGCTCCAGAAATCACCTTTCCATAGCTAAGTACACTAAACGGCCCCAGGGAGTGAGGAATTAGGTGGATTGGTCCCATAATACCACCTATTTTAACAAAGTGTCAGGGCAAATGGCTACATATATTCCCCAGAGGGATAATCAGACAGCATAACTGATAGGTCAATAGCAAACTAACTTGTTTATTTTGTATCCAATCTATTAAATAAACCAGCAATCATTAACTAATGCAAGGCAAAAAGCACTAATTGCCATTGGTAGAAGAGGCCTACGAAGCTCAGAAAACAGAATTTATTTTGGTTCTCAAAGAGATCATTTGGGGTGTCTGGCACCCCTGTCCCCCCCGAGGCAGAGGAACAGTGGAGTTGGCAGGGGTGGCCCTTTGACATCAAATCCCAGGGATATTCCTGCACACAGCCAGCCAGGGCCATCACTCAGAGACCTTCTGACTGTAGCTCATGGAAACACTGCTGCACTTCCCAGAGCACGCCACTGACAACACACCCTGCGACTGACTGACGGCTTTCACTTGAGAGCTCACAGCACAACATGTGCCAGGCCAGGATCAATTTACGGCATCCAAAACTCACACACGCTTCTACCCCAAGTAACCAAGGGAAAAAAGAGACAAAATACTGCTTAGGTTTCAGACACACTTGCATGCATGACTTCCTTTGCACTTGCCAGCCATGTGCAGCTTCATGCTCAGCTCTCCTGCCCGGTTTGCACATGCCCTGGCAACAGATTCAGGGTACAATTACTCAGCAACATTGTGCTGCTGGTACAAACTCACAGCCAGCATGTTTTGCAGCTCCTCTCTTAGTTCTGTTTTTAAAACACTGGACCCTGAGCTATTTGTAGGTTTTCCAAATATATTTATTATAATTTTTCTACAATAGGTCAGGATCTAGCAAATACTACCTTCATTCTAACAGAAAAAAAAAGAAAACTGAGCACTCAAACCTGAAAAAAACAAGTTAGACAAAGGATTTCAGCTGTGACACGAAGAGAGCAGCGCTGTGTTCTGAACTGGGCATTGATAAACAGATCCCAGTAACACATCACTGGAGTGTCAGAGCTGGCACACTCCTTGCTGGGACTCCTCGTGCAAAGGCTCCATAACACTGCAGAATTTGCAGAGTCACAAAATCTTTTAGACTGGAAAAAACCCCTTGTATCATGGAATCCACCTGTTAAACTTAGACTTGACTGAATGGCACTGTGAGGACTTGTGCCTTGCCCAGCTGAACAGGCAGGAGTGTTGGCTGCAGGTTTAGTGTGCTCAGGTGGCACACGTTCAGGACTGCTCGGGGTACTGCGGGGCAAACACAGGGCTGGCTCTTTGTTATGTCCTCAGCATCTTCACAGGTCCCTCACCGTTACAGGGACTAACAAGGGACCACTGGGAGGGGCCCTCCCTGCCCTACCTTGCAGGATTCTGTGTCTGCCTACAGTGCTTTTGTTACTGAGAAACCTGAGCGATAGTTACTGCTGTAGAGGGTTGATGTGATTTGAAGTGTTACTGTAAAAACCATCAGAAGGAGTGAGAACAATTAACAAACCTGTTCCTAGAGCAGTGCTGAGCTCAGCAACAGCGGCGGGCAAACAAGAAGGTGAGCAAACAGAGCTATTTTAATTTCAAGCTCCATTTGAACCACAAGTTAAAAAAAGAAAAATCAATGTTTACCAAGGAGATATGAACACAACTCATTGGAAAATGCATGCTTTTTCAACCTGCATTAGGACTTGTTTTCTAAATACTAGCTACATTCCAAAAAGCCTCATTAGAAATGTCTGTAAACATGTTTTCAAAAGCTGTTTCCAAGCATTTACAGATTTCCACAAACACCAGAAACAGAAGGAAAAGAAAACAGAAAGAGAAGCAGTGATGAAGACTGTAGCCTTAATTATTTTGTTGTCTTTGTCAAAGAATCCTTCTTTGGGAACTGTGGTACGGGCAGGTAACACCTCACCTCTACAGAATATTCTGCATCTACAGACCTCCAAGGCCTTTATAAAATGAAGTCAATATTATTACACCAATCTCATACAAGTAAATGCTGATCTTCAGCTTCTAGAAGAACAGTATCTCTATTTGTGGGCAATCCTATGTCCATCCCTACGAGTCCCTCCAAAAGCAGGGATTTCCCATGTAACTCCAGCGAGCAGAGAGGAGAGCAGAGCACAGGCACATCTCTTCCTTTTCCTTGCAGAACCACTGTTACCATGGTAAAAACTGCTCTTTTTCCCTTTGAGCACTGAGGTTTGGATCCTCAGCCCAGAGAGGGCTGGGCAGTTCCCACTCACACAATCTCACAATTGCTACCCTGCTTCAAAGGCCAAGGAAGTGAACTCTGAACGGTGCCACTTTCAGTGAGCTCAGCTCTTCCCCTTCTTTGCAGGGAAGACAAGAATGGAGAGGAGACACTGAGCCCGCTGCAGAGGCACCTACCCCAACACACACCCTGCTCCCCAGC